AGTATGCACTTGTATATGTATGCTTATTGGGCGGGGCTCATATTACTAGTGTGGTAGGTCCCATATCTCTTTAGGTGGGGCCCGTTATGACTTATGCGAGTGTGGGTGGGGCCCGTATCTCATTGGGCGGGGCCAGTTATGACTTATGCGAGTGTGTGCAAAGCCCATATCTCTTTGGGGATTGTTATGTGATATGTTTGGTATGCGGTATTTTGAGGAACTCACTAAGCTTTGTGCTTACGAATTTTAGTTTGTGTTTCAGGTACTTCTGATTCCAAGGGGAAGGGCTCGAGCTGACTCGGCGAGTTCGTGCATATACTCTGAATCCTCCTAAGGCCTTACTCGACTCGTTGGACTAACTTCCCAACTCGACGAGTTACCACTGGTCACGAATCGCGGGGCAACTCGATCCGACTCGTCAAGTTCTCTCATGGACTCGGTGAGTTTCCTCCATGGCATTACTCATTTGACCTTCTGAGGTCAGATATGTTCCTCTAATCCATAGATCTGGCCTTTTAGCACTCAAAAGTCATGTAAAGGTGTGAACTTGAAGTCCATGCATGGCACATCAAGCTCTATTTGATGAAATAACCACCTTAATGGTGTTTTAGGCTGAACACACTCATGGAAATACATAAAGTTAAGTTCAAGGGACTCTCTGGACCTATCAAGGTCCATATCTTATGTCTAAATCAAAAAGGGACCTCTCATCTTCATAACCTAGCTCCAAAAGAGGGTAAAGAACATAAAATCCATGAGATCCACCAAATACAAGAGATTAGATGCAGATTTGTACCTAATACAGAACTCTGGAGTGAAATAGCAGCCAATCCCACGACCTCCTTGCTTCCAAACCTTGAAACTCTTCTCCTTCCTTTCAAAGAACACACCAAGAAGCTCACAAAGATGCTATTTCTCACTCTAAGCTCTCAAGGGAAATTAGGGTTTCACAAGGGTTTGTGTGGCTGCAAATGAAGGCCATAAGGGCCTTTAAATAGGTCCTAAACCCGGGCAATTAGGGTTTTTCCTCATCAGCACCGAATCGTCGAGTCCATTCATTAAACTCGTCATCTAATCGCGACCCTACTCGACGAGTTGAGGCACCAACTCGTCGAGTCCCTCCAATTAATTCAAAATGAATAATTAAAATAGCGTACCCAAAAATCCGGATGCTACAATTCTCTCCCACTAGAATCAGACTTCGCCCTCGAAGTCTGTCACACCCCGCTAAAGCGGAAACACGAGGCGTGGCAGTATAAAGGGTTTCATAGCAAAAGTTAAAAGACAACACCAACCATAGTATTAAAAATCATTACAATTTTACAATGGTTTGAACAACTTTTAAAAGAAATTACAATGTAAATTGAAATACAACACATGCGAATGCTCCTAAAAGTGAAGTGTCCCTAAGTGCCACTTACTCGATGATTCCTGAAAAAGCACGTAAAACGAGCGTCAACTATAAAAATAGTTGGTGAGTACTCACAGATTAAAAATAATATAAGTTTCATGAATTAAAATCAAAGTTTTGATAGAGTTTTCCATAAATAAAAATATATTGCAAAAATGAGTAAATAAGTTTGTATAAACAAAGTTTGTTGCCATTGTGAGAAATAAAGTTACGTTGCCCAAATGAGATGCAACGTTCATATCCTCATGGAAATAAAATTCATTGCTAAAAACGAGTAAACAAGTTTCATTGCTATAATGAGCAATCAATTTCGTTGCTAAAAAATGTATATAAGTTTCCAGTAATAAAAGTTCGTTGTTATGATGAGATACAAAGTTTATTGCTATAATGAGAAACAAAGTTCATTGCTATAATTTGATAAACGAGTTTTATTGCCATAATAAATAACAAGTTTATTGCTATAATGATTAACAAGTTTGTATGTGTATGAGCAAACAATGAGTTCTCAACCAAACCTATGACTGAATCCCTATCAAGATCTATGCTTATCGTTCCATAGATGAATATGGTATCATGCACTCCAGCAATAGGGCGAGTGAGGAGTTGTCAATTCCCAATAGCGCTATCCACAATGTCCATTGGCTCAAAGAGTTAATGGTTAGAGAAAAGGGAAGGGCCGTAATACGATAAGTTCTCATGTTCCGTGTTGCATAAACATACATAGAGAGATATAGCAATAAAATAGCAATCATGTTTGATACAAATCAATTTAAATACAACATTCAAATAATAGTTTTTCGGGACATGCTTTTCCACCCCAAAACATAAAAACTGAAAATAGGGGAGTGCGTGAATACTCACAATATGCTAAATATAGCAACCAAGTTTAAACGAGTTAAATAAATACAAGGTATATAAATAGTTTAGGACATGCTTTTCCACCCCAAAACCTTTAAAAATCGAAAATAGGGGATTAGTGAATACTCACAATATGCATTGAGATGATGCAAATGGTGCCTTGACTATGCTCCACACGTACCACTATCGATTCCTACAATAATGGTATTCGCTAGTGAGTCTCTAATCGATATCTAACACTAGTATACTTAATACTATAATAGAATTATGCCAATAGTGTATTTGGTGTCTTGGATATGAATTATGAATGGGTTTTGGTGTCATGCATGGAGTTTTGGTTATTAAACCCTAGTTTTTGACCTAGAATAGAAAGGACATGCGTTGGACATGCATGTCCATAAAGCCACGATCTTTAGGGTTTATTATGAGTATGAAGTCATTATGGAAACTTTGGAGGTGCAACTCTAAGCATTGGATGCTTAATGAGAGTCTTGATGCATTAAGTTGTCTTTAGGAGTTAGGGTTTGGGATCTTGACTTAGTAAGGGGTATAGAGGAATAAAGTAGGAAACTTTATCCATCAAAACCATGAGAAGGACCATATCTGAGCTTTGGAGTTCTTGAGGTTGGGGAAAAATTACTTAATGGTTTAAGCTGTCCAGACCAGTCCCCACGCTGTGGCTTAGGTTGCCAAGAATTTGCTACTAGTTCGAGACCCGTCTGTTCTGTCGACTAGCAGCCACAGCGTGACGGCTAGTTAGAGTTGACTTTGACCAAGTTTGAATGATGTGTATTTTGGGTATTTTGAGTTGAAATTTGAGTATAGGTCACTTTTTGTTGTATAGGTGACCTCTAGAGTTGACATTTGGAGCAACGTTCTTTTCTGCTATATTTTCAGACTATGAGGCGAGTTTTCCTCATTATACTTATGGGTTGAAGGCACCAATGTCAGCTCATTGGATTATGAATCCTGGTATATTGGGTTGATATTATGCTGAGTATGCGTTAGATCGGTACCTCTGTCCACTGAGTATGCGTTAGATCGGTAGATCTGTATGATTACCTGTGTTGCTGGTTATTATTGTATATGTCGACATGTTATGGTTGTTGGATTGAGACGGTCATGCTTTGTACTGAAGGACAAGATACCCATGACAGTCCAGATAGGCTGAAGGCCTGCGAGGCAGTCCAGTTAGATCGAAGGCCCGAAGAGTAGTCCATATAGGTTCTAGGCCCTGCGAGGCGGTCGAGTGAGGCTGAAGGCTTATTTATGCATACTGTTATCTGTATTGGTTTTGTGTGGTACTTTAGGGGAACTCACCAAGCTTTGACTTACAGTTTAAGTTTTATGTTTCAGATACTTCAGATGATTGAGGGAAAACAAAGGCATGATCGTACACATTTTTTGATGATATGTTTTGTAGATGTTATGATACATTAATTTTGAAAGATTTGTACTTGATCTTGGATTTTTATGACTTGGATTGATGGAAAACAAGGATTTCTCTTTAATTAAAAATGAAAATTTTAATGTGGTTTTGGGATGTTGCAGAAGAAATCGATGCCTCCTTTACATGACATCGCCTTGGTGGCTGAAAACTCTTCTATTCTTGCCTTAAGTCACCTAACACCTTAAGCACGCTTTTTAAAACACAGATTGTGTCCCTCAAAAAGAACATCATAATGAAACCCCTAAAGAAGCCACCACAATGATAGCTTTCAAAACAATTTTGTTCGTTAGAAGAAGCCGTAACATATCAATCCACATCACCACCTCTTGCACATCAATAAAATCTGGTATGAACAATTACCTCTTGCACATCAATAAAATCTGGTATGAAAAACTCACATATACCACAAACAACGGACGGAAAATCCACAAACAATAAATTGGCATAAATATAAGAAATGAAAATATGCCACAAATTTGGTATGAACAACTCATAAATAATGGATGGATTATCCACATCAATAAAATCTGGTATGAACAACTCACAAATACTAATAAATTGGCATAAATTAATTGAAAATATGCAACACAGCTTCCCTGTCTGAGTCACACATACCACAAAGACGGAATATCCATGCCTTTTGCATCTAAATTATATTAACACGAGTAGCAATTCTATTTAGACGAACATGCCACTAAAAGATATTGATCTTCCGAGGGATAAACTTATTCCATCTTGTGGAAATAATGCCTTCCGGGAGAGTAACCTCATCTATGTCTCGAAGTCAACCAAAAAAATCACATCCATTCAAATTTCAAATCCGTCTCTAGAATTCAACAACTAAGAATCATGTCAAAATATTTTGTTTCTATGCAATTAGTCTTCATCATTTCTACACTGTTTTTGATAATGAAATCCAACTATATTAACCCATAACAAGTTTGACACTTCAAGACTACCTACACACATGTCTACTTAAGATAGCAAGGATTGTTTAAAAATGCTGCACCATATCACGAGGTTCAAAATGTTGAGATACCTTTTTATCGGCCACTTGGCTAGTCTAAATTTATAACAGCGGCCCACATCATCTGTTACTTTGGTTGATACTTCATTTTTTTGGCAAAAGTATATGTTTACATCAAAAAACATGTCTTATAAGTTTCAGACATATACATGCATGTTAGGTTAGGTTTTAAACATACAAGAGAAACCTTACCACCTTGCAAAATACTTCTTAACTGGTGGAAGCATAAACTCTACCATCTACTAGAAGCATTCCTGGTTTCTGTTTAAATTGGAGTCTGACCCAACTGACCGAGACTGACCATACACATTGTTTGTCCGAGAACCTCTCCCATAAGTATTCCACCAAGAAGCACAGCTTGTTTGTTCTTTTGGTGTCCTTGTGGCATCAACAAACCTATTGCTTCGGTTAGGGTTTATTTTAGCTTCTTGAACCTGTGTATGTGATCTATGAACAAAAAAATTGCAAAAATGGTAAGGCTAGAGTCGAAAGCCACCAAGGGAGCATAATTAGCTAAGACAAAAGTTGAACCAATTAACAAACCTATTGCTTCGTACAGGGTAACCATGGCTCTCATGCACAAGCATCCTTCCTCGATATCGGATTCACTCACAGTCTATTAATCAAATTTTCCAAAAGTTTCATCAATTACTTGGAAACTAACATCACTAGATGTCTAGAACAAGACTCAACTTTAATGCATGTTCATGGACTTCAGAAGTGTCTAAAAGCAAATCATTCATCCATTTTTTGATGAAAAAGACGAGTACAAATAACCCACAATATTGTCCACAACAAAACCTTTAAAGGAGGAAGGGGTGAACTAGAAGCCTGTCAAAGCAACAGAACCTGATCATAAGGATCCAAAATGGCATACCGGTTCTGGAATGGATGTGCCTTCAAGGACACAAGGGATATGAAGAGAGAAGCATGGTGGATCATAGTATACACATCTGTAGCATAGAAAAATACACTATTTAAGACAGTAGAACAATATATTCTAGATTATAAATCCTGAGTGATGACTGAAAAAAGCATTTTCTTACAGAACATCAAGATCGTTTCCAAGGCCTTTAGAATCACCAACATACTCGGGCTCTAGGTTAGGATGGACAAAACCATTTATGTCTCCATTGAAACTGAAACAAGAGAAGAAAATATATACATTAGGAAAAAAAATAACCACATCATTTTAATAATGGACAGCACAACCTTAAGCCTGTCTTTTGCTCGATGGAGCCTTCATTGTTGAAGGAAGTGATAATCCGCAAGGCAAGATTTTCTGAAATGTGTAGGAACAACTTGTCGGGATTCTCAGCATTTCTTTTAGCTTCCTCCTCCTGAAGATAAATAATTAGAGTCCTTGTCAAACATGTGAAGCTTCTAATTTCTAAATACCATTCAGCCATACATACAGTCAGTTCCTTCTCAATCATCTTTGTTGAAGCAAGAAGGCTCTCCTCATCGATAAATGGAAGCTTGCAGATACCCTTCAAAAGATATATTTTTGCAACATAAGAAAACTATAGGCATATAAAACATGGTTGTTGAAAGGAGAAATAAGTATTTTGAACAATAATCATCCCCTAACCTGCCAAAGAAATTTTTTCCCATCCATGTCGACATCAAAATCTGAGTATAAAACAACAACATATGTATATATTCAATAGTGTTCATAAAGATATTAAGCAACAAAATTTATCTGTCTGACAACTTAGAATGGGACATACCATTAGGATAGAAATCAAGAATACTCGAATCATCAGTTGTCATTAGTGACCCATATGAAGGTGGAAGTGCATGAGCACTACAAATTAGATAAGATCATGAACAAAACCAGATCAACCAATGTAATCATGTTTCTACAAAAAGAAATTTAAGAACATATACCTTGTAGGGGGGAGAACAGACATAAGTTGATCAAATGGTTTCAAGGGGGATCCTCTTTGAAACGTAACTTTAGTACTTGAAAGACCTTTAAAATCTGATGGGAATGGCCCATAATGGAATGGGTAAAACCTGTTGATGGAATAATCACACTCGTTATTCTATGTTATCAACCAGTCAACAGTATGATGATGAACCTATAAATATTGATCTTATTCACAGATGCCCCTAATTACCATGTCCATGACGCAGCACCCGAGAAGTAATATAGAAGAACCCAACACAACCCTTCGGTGTATTTTTTGACCTACAAAGAATAAAGTGGATCCAATATTTGAGAATAAATGCATTTAGTAAGATATAGTTGATGTAGCATATATACATACATACTTCTTTCCTCGTATTTTCCATATCCACTTCTGTTTCAGCAGAAAACTTGTATTTGTAATAGCGTTTTCTCCATCCAGGAGTACCCAGTTTCACCTGACAAGATTTAGTTTAATTAAACACTCACTAGTTGTGGTAATCTACAGCCTAAAAAGGGAATGCTCACAAGAACGATCCCTACCATGTCTGAAAGAAAACCGTTTTTGAAATTATCCGATATCTCACACATGTAAGATTTTAATTTCTCCTTCAATGCTTTTGTATTCTCGGCCATCTGAGAAAACAAGAAAAAGACATTTCATATTGAGTAAATATATGATTTGAAGATACAACAATGATAGCGAAAGATATAGTATTTCTCAACAATATATCGTACTTGTACATCATGATCGGTTGATTTTTCACTGTGATTGTGAGCACTTCTTGTCACAGAAAACAAACTGTCTTCTCCCTTACGACTCTATACGAAAGATTACTTGTAAGAATATGTTTGTGACAGCTATTATAAAACTTAATGAATTTGTAATAAATAAAAAGAAAAAGAACCTTATCCTTGACTTCTGACAACATGTATCGAAGCTTGCTCTTGTGGAATATTGTTGATCTTTTCTCGAAAATCTGATCTTCATATGCGCCAACTGCAAGGATGAACTTTTCGACCCTTTACATTACATCATTAGCTACCTTTTGGATATTCTACCACAAAAGCGGATACAGTTTAACGCCATGAAAATGATCGAACATTAACAAATTAACGCCATGAAAATCTGATCTTGCTTTTCGTTCATGAGAATCTGATCTTGCTTGTATACATGAATCAATAGATCAATAGCACCCTGATCAAGAATGATAAAGCTTAAGAATTTGGATATTCTACCACAAAAGCGGCAAGATTTAGTTGTCTCATGAACATTTCAATACACCTTTTTGGTAAACTATAGCAATTTTTCATCTTTGTACTTTTGACACCATTGAAATTTTCTTCAAACGAAATAGCTAAAATGTAAAAGCATTCAAACCTCAAGAATTTCCAAGGTTGGCATAGGCGGAAGAAAATCATTTCCACCAAAAAAGCATAAGAAGATGAAATCATCAATGAGTCGTTCAATATCATATTCAAAATTTTCAGGAACATTTTTCGTTCTCAAATCAAGGTTAATATATTCTCTCAGTATCCAAACATGAACAAACTGCAGTAAGAAAAAACAATAAAACTATCATTACAATGGCACCAAGTGCACGCATACTACAACATAAATAAGAATTTTTAGCTCATGTTTAATCCATCGATCACACGTTTCATGGAAACATGTAAAGTCAATAAATTTAAATTCACATAAATTTACATAACTGTTCATGGATAATTAAACCACTTGTTGTAGGGACATGCACATTTGACTCCTTAATTACCTGGTGCGGCTTCTTCACCAACGACTTTGGCTTTCCAGCTGGCAACGACACAGAGGAGCGACTTGTTCTTGAGTTATATTCTGCAAAAACATTCTGACAAAACAAGAACCTAGAATTAGAATGGATTACAAAAACTTTATTAATCAGAATTTAACAAATAAACACGATTTTTACAAGAAGCAAAGAAAGAACCTCTCGCAAAATGGAGAAATGGACTTCGTGTGTAGCCAGAGCGAGCATAATAAGGTCTGTATCCTGACCATAAAAGACATGGCGTGTATTCGGATTATAACCAGGGCAAGTACGTTGAAGCCGTATGAATGACATTATCTTGTGTTCTCCTTCACCAGGGGCATTCGCATCAGAGAGAATTACCTAAATGATCGAACATTAACAAATTAACGCCATGAAAATGGATACAGTTTGGATCACGTATTAATCAATTAAATCATTAAATCTTTCAAGATGCACATGAAGAACCTTCAAGTGTTTCCATGCATCATTTTTTGATATGCGCAGATTAACGTAAGTCTGGAGTTGCTTTGATAACTCGAACATGAACGTTGTGCCAGGAGTGATTATGCTCGAATCTGACATTTCTGATTCCTGGTGCGGAAGAACATCTCTACCTTCAATTTCGTATTGTCTTCTCAATCTATCTTCTTCTTTCCGCTATATATAGACATTACTTTCAAACTTAATTATGAAATGGTCAAAAAAGATAACGTGGAACTCTAGCATGCAGAAATAGTTCGTATCCCGATTATGATTATCTATTAGTTTCTACTTTCTACTGGAGTGTTTCGATGAAAATGTGTATGAAAAAGCATGTAACTGTAGGAGAAAAACGTACAAGTGTCTCGTGGTCTTTGGAATTTCTAAATCTTCTTGTTCTTTGCTGGTTCATTTTAGCTCTTGGTGCAACCCCATCTGCATAATGTTTTTAAATTTGTAATCTTTGAATATGGAAGTGGATTTCAGTCGAAACAATATCGCTTACCTATGGCCAAATATAGAAGCTTTCGTGGTCTTACTATCATCATAACCCTGTCTATATACTCAAATATGTTGCTGAAAACATCTTCGTAAGATGCAGGAGTATTTAACTGTAAAAAGAGTACAACCATTGTAAAAAATAGAGATTTTTACTATAGTAAATTCCCATAAAAGTTATTTCCATTTTGGAATACAGAAGATGAAGAGACGTACATGTTTTGAAAGAACATCGGTATTTAACTGTAAAAAGAACAAACAACGTAAATAAAACAGATTTTTAAAACGGATAAATTCCCAGAAAAAATATTTCCATTTTCGAATACAAAAGATTGAAAAAGAAAGAAGATTAAGAGACGTACATGTTTTGAAAGAACATCTTCGTATTCCCGTTGAAAACATGGATGTATGATTCCGTTCATGTCGAGGTAAAGATTATCAAATTCAAGGCCGTTGGGGTTGGCCAGAGTTCCGTCTTGTTCATTCGTCTTCTCCACCGTATTCACCACTATTTTTGGGTACTTGTTCACCAGCCACCTGTAAAATGACTTTACACCCATTTCTTCTTGCTTCACACAGCTTCTCCTTTCTCTGTAAATCTACAGGAATTGGAAGTGATGGATTGCAACTACTGGTACGTAGTATGTTTGGTTTCCATTTAGTATGGCGGCAGCACAGAGATCGGAAAGACTAAAAGACTATGATTACACTGTGTCACAATCAATGGCACTTCGAAAACCCAACTCTCATCATCATTGTCTTTGTATCCATGCCAATTTTTTTTAAAAGATAAGTTCGACTTCTATTTTAAAAAGACAATCAGAAGTAACTAAATTACGATAAAAGGTTATGTTTAAGTTGCCTTTTTATGATCAGATTTTCGATGTGAATGGGTATAAAAAATGCTTAAATTGTATTTAATTTGATTTCTTTTGAAACTATATAGTTTGTTAATGAATTAAATTCAAAATAATTCGTTTTTATTAGAGCATTCGGTTTGAGAGTTGTTTCACGCATAGGTTTCCTACGTGGATCCTATGTGGAAGGGATGTCTAGTGAACACCACTCTCAAGCGTAGTGGGTGTTGTGGAGTGGTTACCATCATATAAAGGTGTTTACGGGGCGGTTCGGTTCGGATAATAAAAAAATTATGAATCATGACCACGGGGCGGGTACCTAACATGCATTAATCGAAACCGAACCGAATTATGAAAAAAACCGAACCGAACCGAACCGGATGAAGGCGGGTAACCACGGTTCGGTTCACTGGTACCCACTAAATACAAAAAATCAAAATCATTAATAAAAAATATAAACCATGACTAAGTCATCAAGTTCTAATTATATATTATAATTTATATAATAACTAATGAAATTAACAATAAAAGGTGATGAAAGTTCTAAACTATTGTTTGAGTTTTGTTTGGGCTATGGGATTACTGGATTGTATGCGGTAGGACGGATAAATTAAAGAAAATGTTGATCGAGTATGGAGTATGGAAGCGTAACAATATTCTTATTATTTATTCTAGTTTATATATATATATATATATATATATATATATATATATATATATATATATATATATATATATATATATATATGTATATCAATGACGGTTCGGTTCGGGTATCCGCGGATATTGAAATATCCAAACCGAAACCGACCCGTAGATAGTCGTTTTTTTCGGTTTCGGTTTCGATTTATTTCGGTTACGGTTTTTTCGGTTTCGGATTGGCCGGATCGGCTCGGTTTTTCGGTTTTGCGATTTTTTTGCACACCCCTACCATCATGGACGTCTAGGAAACCTGTGTCCATCTCTCTTTTCTTCACTAGTTGGTCGGTGAACAACACCCCACATGTATAATAGATGGGCTGTGAAAGAAGATGATGATGATGTGGAATTATTTTTATGGTATGGATATCGGAAGGCCTTAGGAAAATAGCAAAAAATATTTAATTTTAAATTTTTTTTTATTTTTTTATTTTGACATTGATTTTTTCCGTAAATTAAAAATCATGTTTTTCGATTTGTTTTAATATTAACTACATACTTGGTTGTCGCCTCATATCCTGACTAAGAAATAATGTTGTGATGAATTGTTTGTTGGGGATTTATAGACAAGGTGTGTGGTAATCTATTTGTTTCTAGATAAAGAATCGGTGCTATTAATAGGCTGTCAGAATTATTGTTTGTGCATCTGCAAGGGATTCTTGATATTAGAGGTTGTTATGATTAAGAGATTTTCGAGGTATCCATATGAGATTCGGAGTCTTTTTGAGTATGCTTGGTCTTTATCTGGAAGAACATCTTGCGTTATGTTATACATTAGGGAGCCCCGATTCTGTTTGTGAAGAAGAATGATGGGTCTCATCGGATGTGTATCGACTACCAGGAGTTGAATAAGGTAACGGTGAAGAACCGTTATCTCCTCCCGATGATTGATGATCTTTTCGAACAGCTTCAGGGTGCATCTTGGTTCTCCAATATTGATTTGTGATCAGGTTATCATCAGATGCGGGTTCGCGATGAGGTTGTGCAGAAGACGGCTTTTCAGACTCGATATGGTCATTATGAGTTCGTCGTGCTGCCATTTGGGCTCTCCAATGCTCCAGCCGCATTCATGGATCTCATGAACCGCGTATGCAGACCGATGTTGGATCGGTCTGTGATAGTATTCATTGATGATATCCTGGTTTATTCTAAGACTCAGGAGCAACATGAGGAGCATTTAAGAGAGGTGTTGGAGACTTTGAGGAGGGATAGACTCTTTGCAAAGTTCTCCAATGGCACTTCGAAAACCCAACTCTCATCATCATTGTCTTTGTATCATGCCATTTTTTTTAAAAAGATAAGTTTGACTTCTATTTTAAAAAGACAATCAGAAGTAACTAAATTACGATAAAAGGTTATGTTTAAGTTGCCTTTTTATGGTCAGATTTTCGATGTGAAGGGGTTAAAAAATGCTTAAATTGTATTTAATTTGATTTCTTTTGAAACGATATAGTTCGTTAAGGAATTAAATTCAAAATAAATCTTTTTTATTACGTCATCCGGTATTGGAGTTGTTTCACGCGTAGGTTTCCTACGTGGATCCTATGTGGAGGGGATGTCCACTAGTGTGACATCCCCATTTTCACGGCCAGAAAAGACCGATTTTGTTTATGCTTTATAAAAATCAGAGTACTTCATTTTATAAAAATGTTGCGGAATTTGTTCCCAGAAAAACATGGTAAATACGTTATTAAAACATTTTCGAAGAAACGTATTTATTTCATTTTAAAACGTTTGGGACGTCATCGTTAATACAGAAACATAAGCATAAACAGAACTTACAATTATTTACACTAGTGATCTACATCTCTTTAAATCTCTCAGTGTAATGTCACTTCATATCAACACCTGTTATATAAATAAACTGAGTGGGTCAGGTTGGGAAACCTGGTGAGTACATAGGGTTTTCAACCCACAATAATATAATTATTATGTTTAAACAATCAAACAATCAACCCAATTACCCATCCTCATTATCTTCTTTATTCTTAAGGATCTACCCTAAGAATCAGCTATTTCTCATTCATCCATTCCTAAGGATCATCCTAAGGAAACAACATGAAGTCCATTGTTGCCAATGACACATTGGTCAAGCGCAGCTGCTAATATTGTCACTTAGGCTCAGCTGCCAGAATTAGGACATTTTCTATGAGGCGCTTCTGCTGGTATTGACCTTTAAACACTACTGTCATGGTCATAAGGCTCCCTATTAGGCGCAGCTGCCGATACTATCCTTAGAGCGCAGCTGCTAGGATGTTTACCGTAGATCTAAATCATCTACGGGTTGTGGCGCAGCTGCCAGTGCTCATCTATAGGGTACTAGGTCCACTGCTGCCGGTGTATACCTATAGGGCACTAGGTCTGTACTAGTAATGTTCCTCTATTTCAGCTTTTATCCATCATCATTCATCTACCCATGTTTTACCCAACATATTTTGTAGATATAAAATACTTTATACAGTTTACATCATTTAAAACATGTATAAAAATCTTTCACCAGCATAGACAACAAGTATTCAGACAATATGCACACATAACACGTAATTTATATTAAAATACTTCATATCTATGTGTAAGATGAAAGAGACCATGCACTCACAACACGTAAATTATATAATAAATACTTCATATCTATGTGTAAGATGAAAGGGACCATGCACTCACAACACGTAAATTATATAATAAATACTTCATATCTATGTGTAAGATGAAAGGGACCATGCACTCACCTGAGAAGGTGGTGACTCGGTACTCGGACAACGCTTCGTTTACTTTAAAAAAAAATTCTTCGACGAAACCTAGTATTATCACCAATACATTTTAGTCTATTATTCGTCGAGACTAATTAATAGTCTAGCTATTATTACTATTATATATGCGTTAAAAAAAATACTTATATAACCCATAATAATAGCCCAAGTATTTATTATATGTTCTTAATAACGTTAATATAATTAAATAAAAACTATATTAAAAATAGCGTAGGCGTAGCTCACTTACAGCGGCTTTTATAGAAAATCAGACTTTGCTTGGAGCAGCGTTTCCGAGCCGAAAAGCTCTTCTTCTCGGAGCCGTCGAGCACTCCGGGGCTTCCGCCTCGTGCTAGGGAGGTTCCCTAGGCTTTTCGGGGGATTTCGGGGCTAGAGAGAGGTTCTAGAGAGAGAGTAAAGAGAAGAAAGAATGGGAAAGGTGTGAAGAAAATGAGGGTGGGAGAGGTGGTATTTATAGGGTGAAAATGGCTGAACTTGGTGCCACATGTCACCATCTAGTGGCAAGACTTGGGGAGAAAGCAATGGCCAAGATTGTGCCACATCACCCATTTTCGCACAGCACACTTCCGACTTCTAAAATCCGTAACTTTCACATACGACCTCCGTTTTTGACATTCTTTATATCCACGCGTAGGTAAAAATAATATCTACAACTTTCATTTTGACTCCGTCGGCTAATTCTCGACCGATCTTAAATTTAACAGTACGAGGCGTTTAGACTGTTAAATGACCGCGAAGAATTCGTAACTCCTTCATACCGACTCCGTTTTCGTCTGTCTTTTTACCATTGAGTTCCTATTAATGAGATCTTGAACTCTCATTTAGGTCATGTAAGCCAAAAACCGCTCGAACTAAAATTCGAGTTTCGGACCGTGCACTGCTAAGCCGAATCTTAGAAAAATCATAACTTCCTCATACGAAATCAGATTTGGGTGTTCTTTTTATCGACACTCTTAGTTTAACATATTCTACGACTTTTGTTTAGATTGCTAAGGATAAATCTCGCTCTATCGTAAATTCACTATTTACGCTTCCCGGTGCCGTGCCGATTTTGCCGTAAAACTTCGACGGGCCATAACTTCTTCGTTATAACTCGGATTTCGGCGTTCTTTATATGTACGAAAACCTTGTGACATATTCTACAATTTGGTTAAGATTATTTATTATAAATAATCTTTTGTTGAAAAGTTATTTTCGACCCCTGTTGCCTCTAAATTGACTAGCCCGGATCTG